GTACCAAAATTAAAAGAATCGTATCTCAAAAAATAATTGAGATATCAAAATGATTTAATCACCATTTTGTAGCAAATTTAATCTAGATTTAAGACCCCGAAAATTTTTATTTCGATTCTATAACTCGCGGAGATACGATTTTTTTAATTCAACTTCAATTATGTAGTAAAATAAATAAATTGACATTATTTTAAAAAAATCGTGAAAAATCGAGTTCTTAAGATATCTTTATGAAACATTTTAACCTTATAGAAGAAAGTGCGTATTTTATTAGGAACAAAACCGCACTTAAATATCTCAATTCGTTTTTGAGATAATAATTTTTTAACTTAATCCTAATTTTGTAATAAAAAAAATTTCAAAAAATCGCTGTGGTTTTATTTATGGAGATTAATTAATGATTTTTATATCAAATTAAAGCCTCAACTTTCTACTTTTCAATGATATATAATAACATATAGGTTGGATCATAAAAATGTTGAGATAAAAAATAAATAAGTAATTTTGGCCATAATCAAATTACCAATAAAAATGAAATAATAATATTTATACACCTTCGAGCAAAAGTGTAAAAGAGTAAAATTGTTAATAATTAAGTTTGCTACAACTTTTATACTAAAACTTTTTTCTAAAATATTTATTTGTTATGATTTTTTGAAAATTATTGAAAATAACTGTTTCTCCAGAAAAATGAGAAAGTCTATTATTACGTTTAAAAATTAATATCTCAAAAACTAAAAGATATTTCGAAAATCCGTTTGTTTCATTGGAAAGCTGATAATTTGTACTACAAATGCTGATAATTTCATGAGAATTCATTAAAGCTACGATTTATTACGATTTTTTGAATATGACGTTGTTATGCGAGACATTAAAAAAGTAAACTTTAAGAAATCATATCTACCTTATTTATGGGAGTTAAAAAACAAGTTTTACGTCAAATTATAGCTTAAAGTGTTTACTTTAAAACTGCGCAATTATTAGTTGATTCAACCAATTCAACCAACAGATAATTAAATAGAGAAAAATAGAAATCATGAACTTTGTACGATTTAATTTTATTTATTAATTTCCCAGTTCGTCAAGATGATTTTTTTCTGAAACTATGAGATGTTTTCTTATAGAAAAATGAATTTTAAATCGAAAATAAAGAATAACTTTTTATCGTATTATCTTTTATTCTTGAGATATTCTCTTTCAAAACAACCAAATTCTTTTTTCGTAAAAATTAAGAATTCCAAGGCGGATATCTCAAGAATGAAGGGTGATATCAAAAAATGTTATTCTTCTATTTCGATTTATTAATCAATTTTCTATACGATTAGTGTATAATATTTTCTATGAAAGTGATTGTTATTAAACGCCATTCGAAAAAGTGAATAAAAACGGATACTTTATAAGATTAACTTTTTTATTTCATTTCTCAATTCATAGAGATGATTTTTGCGTAAACTTTAAGGTATATTTCCGGTAGAAAAATGAATTTTAAATCGAAAATAAAGAGTAACTTTTTATCGTATTATCTTTCATTCTTGAGATATTCTCTTTCAAAACAACCAAATTCGACGTTTTTCGTAAAAATTAAGAATTCCAAGGCGGATATCTCAAGAATGAAGGGTGATATCAAAAAATGTTATTCTTCTATTTCGATTTATTAATCAATTTTCTATACGATTAGTGTATAATATTTTCTATAAAAGTGATTGTTATTAAACGCCATTCGAAAAAGTGAATAAAAACGGATACTTTATAAGATTAACTTTTTTATTTCATTTCTCAATTCATAGAGATGATTTTTGCATAAACTTTAAGGTATATTTCCGGTAGAAAAATGAATTTTAAATCGAAAATAAAGAGTAACTTTTTATCGTATTATTTTTCGTTCTTGAGATATTCCCTTTTAAAGCAACCAAATTCGACGTTTTTCGTAAAAATTAAGATTTCCAAGGCGGATATCTCAAGAACGAAGGGTGATATGAAAAAATGTTATTCTTCTGTTTCAATTTAGAAATCATCTTTCTATACGATTAGTGCATAATATTTTCTATAAAAGTGATTGTTATTAAACGTCATTCGAAAAAGTGAATAAAAACGGGTACAATATAAGATTAACTTTTTTTATTTCATTTGTCAATTCATAGAAATGATCTTTGCATAAACTTTAAGGTCTATTTCTGGTAGAAAAATGAATTTTAAATCGGAAATAAAGAATAACTTTTTATCGTATTATCTTTCGTTCTTGAGATATTCTCTTTTAAAGCAATCAAATTCCACGTTTTTCGCAAAAATTAATATATCCAAGGCGGATATCTCAAGAACGAAGGGTGATATGAAAAAATTTTATTCTTCTATTTCGATTTAGAAATCACTTTTATATACGATTAGTGCATAATATTTTCTATGAAAGTGATTGTTATTAAACGCCATTCGAAAAAGTGAATAAAAACGGGTACTTTATAAGGTTAACTTTTTTATTGCATTTCTCAATTCATAGAAATGCTTTTTGCATAAACGTTAAGGTCTATTTCCGGTAGGAAAATGAATTTTAAATCGAAAATAAAGAGTAACTTTTTATCGTATTATCTTTCATTCTTGAGATATTCAGTTTTAAAACAACCAAATTCGACGTTTTTCGCAAATATTAAGATTTCCAAGGTGAATATCTCAAGAACGAAGGGTGATATGAAAAAATGTTATTGTTGTATTTCGATTTAGAAATCATTTTTCTATACGAATAGTGCATAATATTTTCTATAAAAGTGATTGTTATTAAACGCCATTCGAAAAAGTGAATAAAAACGGGTACTTTATAAGATTAACTTTTTTATTTCATTTCTCAATTCATAGAAATGATTTTTGCATAACCTTTAAGGTCTATTTCCGGTAGAAAAATGAATTTTAAATCGAAAATAAAGAATAACTTTTTATCGTATTATCTTTCATTTTTGAGATATTCCCTTTTAAATCAACCAAATTCGACATTTTTTGTAAAAATTAAGAATTTCAAGTCAAATATCTCAAGAACGAATTGAGATATCATCATGAAATAAAGAACATTTTAAAGCAAATTTGATGTAGATTCAATGCACGAAAAATAATTTCTTATTTTCTATAAACATCGTTGATAAGATTTTTTAAATCCTACTTTGCATATATGCTTATTATTGATATGAAATAAAAATTTCAAAAAACCGTATCTCAAGAACGAATTGAGATATCACCATGAAATAAAGAGCATTTTAAAGCAAATTTGATCAACATTTAATGTGCCGTAAATAATTTCTTATTTTCCATAAACATCGTTGTTATGATTTTTTAAATCCAACCCGTTTTTAATTGTTATGGATATGAAATATAAATTTTAAAAAATCGTATCTCAAAAACTAACGGAGATATCAAATTGAGATAAGAAACATTTTAAAGCAAATTTAATCTAATTTTAGTAAACCAAAAATTGTTTCTTAGTTTTCATATTTGACGTGGTTATAATTTTTTGAATCCGACTCTGCTTCGTTGAATTTAATAATGTTTGCATTTTAAAAATTAAAATTAGCAAAATCGTATCTCAAAAACTAAGAGAGGTATTAAATTGAGATAAGAAGTATTTTTAATCTAGTTTCAGTGTACCAAAAATTATTTCTTCGTTTTCATATTTGGCGTAGTTATGATTTTTTAAATCTAACTTTGCATGTTTGATTGTTACAGATGAAATATAAATTTAAAAAATCGTATCTCAAGAACGAATTGAGATATCGCAATGAAATAAAGAGCATTTTAAAGCAAATTTGATGAAGAATTAATGTGCCATAAATAATTTCTTATTTTCCATAAACATCGTTGTTATGATTTTTTAAATCCAACCCCTTTTTAATTGTAATAGATATGAAATATAAATTTTAAAAAATCGTATCTCAAAAATTAACGGAGATATCAAATTGAGATAAGAAGCATCTTAAAGCAAATTTAATCTAATTTTAGTAAACCAAAAATTGTTTCTTCGTTTTCATATTTGACGTGGTTATAATTTTTTGAATCCGACTCTGCTTGGTTGAATTTAATAATGTTTGCATTTTAAAAATTAAAATTAGAAAAATCATATCTCAAAAACGAAGAGAGATATTGAATTGAGATAACAAGCATTTTAAAGCAAATTTAATCTAGATTTAGTGTACCAAAAATTATTTCTTCGTTTTCATATTTGGCGTAGTTATGATTTTTTAAATCCAACTTTGCATGTTTGATTGTTACAGATGAAACATAAATGTAAAAAAATCGTATGTCAAGAACGAATTGAGATATCGCCATGAAATAAGTACCATTTTAAAGACAATTTAGTTTAAATTTAGTATCTAGAACACCATTTTTCTATCTCTCCAAGTTTTGATGTTATGATTTTTTTTAATATATGCAATTATGACGGGTTAAGTAGATAAACGTCAAATTTCAAAAAATTATATCTCAAAAAGTACTTGAGATATCAAGACAATTTAATCATCATTTAAGAGCAAATTTAATCTAGTTTGAGCAAGCAAAAAATTATTCCTTCGTTTTTACAAATCCCAAAGATACGATTTTTTCATCAATTTTGAGATTATTGAGGTTAAATTGATAAAAGGTAAATTAAAAAAATCGTATCTCAAGAACGAATTGAGATATCATCATGAAATAAATAACATTTTAAAGCAAATTTTATGAAGATTCTTTGCCCCATAAATCATTTCTTACTTTCCATAAACATCGTTGTTACGATTTTTTAAATCCAACTCTGCATGTTTGATCTGAGGTTAACTTTTATTATTTCATTTCCAAAGTCATAGGGATGCTTTTTGCAAAAACTTTGATGTATATTTCCGGTAGAAAAATGAATTTTAAATCGAAAATAAAGAGTAACTTTTTGTCGTATTATCTTTCGTTTTTGAGATATAAGTCTTGATGTTGCGATTTTTTATTTACAATTTCTTCTTAGAATTCTTAAACTAATAAGTTTTTTTTTGTTGCAGGTAAAAATCTTTTTTACTACTTAAATTGGGGTGAGTTTTTAAAAAGAAATGGTCTAAGTGCACACTATAATAATCAAAAAAGTATTGATAAGCTATAATTACCAGCTGTGACGTCACTTTTGGCGCTTTCGCAATCATTTTTAATCAAAATCAACATTTTTATCAGAATCTGTGTACCTCTTAATATGATTCTTTCAAATTTTATACTTCCAACTTAACTTTGTAAAGGAATAAGAATTTTTTAACGCGTTAGTTGATAATTGATGGGTACTCCTCCATTTGGCAGCCTGTAACTTTTTTGGCATTGTTTATCGAAATCTGCATACTTTTTAATGTAAAATTTTATTTTATACTGAAAATTTTGTGATTCGGACTCGATTCTTGAAGAAGTTAGTAACAGTATTTTTGACTTATGCGAAGTTAGCTCCCAATTTTCACCTTTTCGAATTTTTCTCGATTTCTATGCTTCTGGGAGTAAAAGTGTAAAAGGGCGATTTTGTTAAGAAAGAAATTTGCTACAACTTTTATTTTAAAACTTTTTTTCTAAAACGTTCCGATTTTCTGATTCGTCCTCTACCAACAAGATGCAAAACCACGAATTTATCCAATTGAATTTTGCATTTTTCTCGATTTCTATGCTTCTGGGAGTAAAAGTATAAAAGAGCAATATTGTTAAGAATTAAATTTGCTACAACTTTTATATTAAAACTTTTTTTCTAAAACGTTCCGATTTTCTGATTCGTCCTCTACCAAAATGATGAAAAACCTCGATTTTATCTAATTGAATTTTGTATTTTTGTCGATTTCTATGCTTCTGGGAGTAAAAGTATAAAGGAGTGATATTGTTAAGAATGAAATTTGCTACAACTTTTATATCAAAACTTTTTTTCTAAAACGTTCCGATTTTCTGATTCGTCCTCTACCAAAATGATGCAAAACCTCGATTTCATCTAATTGAATTTCGAATTTTTCTCGATTTCTATGCTTCTGGGAGTAAAAGTGTAAAAGAGTGATATTGTTAAGAATTAAATTTGCTACAACTTTTATATTAAAACTTTTTTTCGAAAACGTTCCGATTTTCTGATTCATCCTTTACCAACAAGATCCAAAATCACTATTTCATCCAATTGAATTTGGAATTTTTCTCGATTTCTATGCTTCTGGGAGTAAAAGTGTAAAAGAGTGATTTTGTTAAGAATTAAATTTGCTACAACTTTAATATTAAAACTTTTTTTCTAAAACGTTCCGATTTTCTGATTCGTCCTCTTCTAAAATTATCCAAAACCACGATTTCATCTAATTGAATTTCGATTTCTATGCATCTGAGAGCAAAAGTATAAAAGAGTGATTTTGTTAAGAATGAAATTTGCTACAACATTTATATTAAAACTTTTTTTCTAAAACGTTCCGAGTTTCTCATTCGTCCTATATCCACAAGATCCAAAACCACGATTCTATCTAATTGAATTTCGATTTTTTCTCGATTTCTATGCTTCTGGGAGTAAAAGTGTAAAAGAGTGATATTGTTAAGAATGAAATTTGCTACAACTTTTATATTAATACTTTTTTTCTGACACGTTCCAATTTTCTGATTCATCCTCTAACATCAAGATCCAAAACCTCGATTTTATCTAATTGAATTTCGAATTTTTCTCGATTTCTATGGTTCTGGAAGTAAAAGTGTAAAAGAGTGATATTGTTAAGAATGAAATTTGCTACAACTTTTATATTAAAACTTTTTCTCTAAAACGCTCCGATTTTCTGATTCGTCCTATACCCACAAGATCCAAAACCACGATTCTATCCAATTGAAATTCGAATTTTTCTCGATTTCTATACATCTGGGAGTAAAAGTGTAAAAGAGCGATTTTGTTAAGAATTTAAGAATTAAATTTGCTACAAATTTTGTATTAATAGTTTTTTTCTGACACGTTCCGAATTTCTGATTCGTCCTCTACCCACAAGATGCAAAACATCTAAGATGACTTTTCCGGTACAAAAATGAATTTAAAACCGATTATAAAGAATAACTTTTTTTCGTATCCCCTTTCGTTCTCGAGATATTAAAGGGAACTTGAAACCTCGTCCTCCCGCATAAACCCAGTAATAATGGACTTCCTGTTTCTTTGAGCCAAAACTTGACACCTTTCTTAAAAGATTCATTTCAATGTGAATGAAAACGATGAATTAAGAGTTGTTTCTTTTTCAGTTATGACACATGTTTCCGAAAAACTCGATATAATGGACGCAATTTCACCCACAAGGAAGCCAACCAAAGACATATCAATCTCAAGACTCCTCCTGGTGATAATCCTCACCTTTTTTGCATTAACAATCATCACAACGTCCCTTCTAACTTATTATTTATCCCCAAAGGTGACTAATATCATTCAAAACGACTGCAAAAGCAACCCCACCACGTTAAGTTTAACCCAAATCGACGACGATGTCCAAAATAATGAAGAAGAACAAACCGATCTAGATACTTCAACTCCAGAAATGAACCAAATCGAAGTTACCACTAAAAGTTTTAAAGAAGAGATGAATTTGAGGCTGCCAAGGTCGATTAAGCCGAATTTTTATCGCCTATTTATGCTCCCTTTTTTAATCGATGGAAATTTAACGTTTAATGGAAACGTTTCGATCAACATAACAGTGGAAGAAGCAACTAAAATAGTGACTTTACACGTGGATGAATTAGAAATAGAACCAAATTCGGTTGAGATCTTATTACTTAAAGATAAAGATGAAAAAAAAGAAAGTTTAAAAGTTGTACAATTATCTAATGATACGACAAAAAACTTTTTTAACATCCATTTGGAGGAGGATTTAAAGATAGGGATGGTTTGCGAGATTCGAATGCGATTTAAAGGGGTTTTAAATGATATTTTGGAAGGATTTTATCGGAGTTCTTACGTTTTAAATGATACGAAGAGGTTTGTTTGATAAAAAATGAGATGAGTTGGTTTAATTTATTTCTTTTAATTGGTTAGATGGATTGCTGTGACTCAATTTCAACCGACGGATGCAAGGAAAGCTTTTCCGTGCTTCGACGAACCCGCTTTGAAAGCTAAGTTTCAAGTCAATCTGGGAAGGTCGAAGGAGATGTCGTCGATTTCGAATATGCCGAAGTTTAAGTCTACACCGATGTGAGTTAAATTTTTTTTTTAATATCGAGAATACGTGAAAAAAGTGTATGCCCTATACAGGGCGTCGCGCCTTTATTTTAGGTGCTTAAAGAAATGATGCGCGACGCGCATTATTAAAAAAATCATATCTACCGTATTTTTATGAATAATGATGTGATATTTATGTTAAATTGAAGCTTAAAGATTCTAGTTTATGATGTGATATAGAAACTGTACGATGATATTATTGAAATTTTTAAGAAAAAATTATTAAAAATGAAATTGTTGATTTTATGAATAAAAGAGAAATTTTCAAAAAATCATATCTACCGTATTTTTATGAATAATGATGTGATATGTATGTTAAATTGAAGCTTAAAGATTCTAGTTTATGATATGATATAGAAACTATATGATAATATTTGGAAATTTCAATAATTCCCAGGAAAGAATTGTTAAAGAAGGAATTGTCAAATTTATGAATGAAAGACAAATTTTCAAAAGTCATATCTACTGTATTATTATGCATAATGATATAAACTAAATGCTAAGTTAAAGCTTGAATATTCTAGGTTATGATACCATATAAAAATTATAAGATAATATTATTGAAATTTCCGGAAAAAAATTATTAAAAAGAATATTATTTAATTTATTAATCAAGAATAAACGAAATTTTCAAAAAATATATCTACTGTATATTAAAGAATCCTAATATGATATGTATGTTAAATCAATCATATTATAATTTTAAAAAATACAGATGATATGGTTTTTTGAATATTTCGTACTCTTTTTGATTTATAAATATGACAATTTCTTCTTCAACAATTTATTCCTGGAAATTTCATTAATATTATCTCATAGTTTTTATATCACATCATAAACTAGAATCTTTAAGCTTCAATTTAACATACATATCACATCATTATTCATAAAAATACACTAGATATGATTTTTTTAAATTTCTTTTATTCATAAATTAGACAATTTCATCTTTATTAATTTTTTCTTAAAAATTTCAATAATATCATCTTACAGTTTCTATATCATATCGTAAACTAGAATCTTTAAGCTTCAATTTAACATACATATCATATCATAATTCTTAAAAATGAATAAATTTCCTATTATTTTTTATTAACAATTTGACAATTTCTTCTTTAATAATATTTTTCAGAAAATTTTAATAACATTACCTTAAAATTTTTATAATCGAACCCCATATTTTCTATATCATATCATAATTTAGAATGCTTCTGCTTTAATTTGAGATATAATACACATTCTTACCTTTAAAAGTAAAGAAGATATGATTTTTTGAAATTTTTAATTTTTTAAGCTGTCTATACCAATTTTACAATTTTTCGTTTATGATGACATTTCTCAAAATTTTTATAATCGGACCCCACATTTTCTATATCATATCATAATTTAAAATGTTTGAGCTTTAATTTAAGATATAATACATATTCTTACCTTTAAAAATAAAAAAGATATGATTTTTCGAATTTTTTTATTTTTTAAACTGTCTATACCAATTTTGCAATTTTTGGCTTATGATGATATTTCTCATAGTTTTTATAATCGAATCCTATCATTTCTATATCATATCATAAACTAGAATCTTTAAGCTTCAATTTAACATACAAATCATATCATAATTCTTAAAAATGCAGATGGTATGGTTTTTTGAAAATTTTGTACTCTTCTTGATTTATAAATATGACAATTTCTTCTTCAACAATTTATTCTTGGAAATTTCATTAACATCATCTCACAGTTTTTATATCATATCATAAACAACAATCTTTAAGCTTCAATTTAACATACAAATCATATCATAATTCTTAAAAATGCGAAAGATATGGTTTTTTGAAAATTTCGTACTAAATTTAACAATTTCTTCTTTTATAATTTTTTCCTGGAAATTTCAATAATATCATCATATAGTTTTTATATCATATCATAAACTACAATCTTTAAGCTTCAATTTAACATACAAATCATATCATGATTCTTAAAAATACAGATGATATGGTTTTTTGAAAATTTCGTACAAAATTTAACAATTTCTTTTTTAATAATTTTTTCCTGAAAATTTCAATAATATTATCATATAGTTTTTATATCACATCATAAACTACAATCTTTAAGCTTCAATTTAACATACAAATCATACCATTATTCTTAAAAATACAGATGATATGGTTTTTTGAAAATTTCGTACTCTTCTTGATTTATAAATATGACAATTTTTCTTCAACAATTTATTCCTGGAAATTTCATTAATATTATCTCATAGTTTTTATATCGTATCATAAACTACAATCTCTAAGCTTCAATTTAACATACAAATCATATCATAATTCTTAAAAATGCGAATGATATGGTTTTTTAAAAATTTCGTACTAAATTTAACAATTTCTTCTTTAATAATTTTTTCCTGGAAATTTCAATAATATTATCATATAGTTTTTATATCACATCATAAACTACAATCTTTAAGCTTCAATTTAACATACAAATCATACCATAATTCTTAAAAATACAGATGATATGGTTTTTTGAAAATTTCGTACTCTTCTTAATTTATAAATATGACAATTTTTCTTCAACAATTTATTCCTGGAAATTTCATTAATATTATCTCATAGTTTTTATACCGTATCATAAACTACAATCTCTAAGCTTCAATTTAACATACAAATCATATCATAATTCTAAAAAATGCGAAAGATATGGTTTTTTGAAAATTTCGTACTAAATTTAACAATTTCTTCTTTTATAATTTTTTCCTGGAAATTTCAATAATATTATCATATAGTTTTTATATCACATCATAAACTACAATCTTTAAGCTTCAATTTAACATACAAATCATACCATAATTCTTAAAAATACAGATGATATGGTTTTTTGAAAATTTCGTACTCTTCTTGATTTATAAATATGACAATTTTTCTTCAACAATTTATTCCTGGAAATTTCATTAATATTATCTCATAGTTTTTATATCGTATCATAAACTACAATCTCTAAGCTTCAATTTAACATACAAATCATATCATAATTCTTAAAAATGCGAATGATATGATTTTTTGAATATTTCGTTAGTTCTTGATTAATAAATTAGACAATTTCCTTTTAATAATTTTTTCCTAGAAATTTCAATAATATTATCTTATAATTTTTATATGATATCATAAACTAGAGTCCTTAAGCTACAATTTAACATATATATCATATCATTATTCATAAAAATACAGTAGATATGATTTTTTGAAAATTTCATTAATTCTTAATTAATAAATTAGACAATTTCCTTTTTAATAATTTTTTTCTGGAAATTTCAATAATATTATCTTATAATTTTTATATCATATCATAAACTACAATCTTTAAGCTTCAATTTAACACACATATCATATCATTATTCATAAAAATACAGTAGATATGATTTTTTGAAAATTTCATTAATTCTTGATTAATAAATTAGACAATTTCCTCTTTAATAATTTTTTCCTGGAAATTTCAATAATATTATGTTATAATTCTTATATGGTATCATAAACTAGAATCTTTAAGCTACAATTTAACATACATATCATATGATTATTCATAAAAATACAGTAGATATGATTTTTTGAAAATTTCGTTAATTCTTGAATAATAAATTACACAATTTCCTCTTTAATAATTTTTTTCTGGAAATTTCAATAATATTATCTTATAATTTTTATATGATATCATAAACTAGAGTCTTTAAGCTACAATTTAACATATATCATATCATTATCCATAAAAATACGGTAAATATGATTTTCTTAAAATCATCATCTTTGCAACTATGCAACCAACATCACACCACCCATATCCCAACACACACTTTGCAAAATTAGTTGCATACTCACTCCAATAAAATTTTTTTTTCTCAATTTCAGCTCAAATCTCCCCGGATATTATTGGGACCACTTCGAAACATCCGTACCTATGTCCACATATTTAGTAGCCTTCGTAATTTCCGATTTCGACCACTTAACTAACCAAACCGTATCGATTTGGTTCCGCCAAACCATGCTAAACCAAGCCGGATTCGCCTTAAAAGTGAGCCCAGCCCTTTTAACATTCTACGAGGAGTATTTCCAACTCAAATTCCCCCTCCCAAAGATCGATATGGTGGCATTACCCGATTTTTCAACAGGAGCCATGGAAAATTGGGGGTTAATCACTTATCGAGAATCCGTTTTGTTATACGACCCAGAAAAGTCGACCAAATTCAACATGCAGGTGGTTTTAATCGTTGTGGCACACGAATTAGCCCACCAATGGTTTGGAAATTTGGTCTCTCCTTTGTGGTGGGATGATTTGTGGTTAAACGAAGGTTTTGCGACTTTTATGGAGTATTTGAGTGTCGATTCGGTTTATCCTGAGTTAAAAGTGATGGATCAATTCGTCGTGCATGAATTACAAGGGGTTTTAACGATTGATGCCTTAAAATACTCCCACCCAGTTTCTGTGAAGGTCGAAAATCCGGATGAGATTAATAACATCTTCGATGGGATATCCTACGCGAAAGGAGCGACGATTATTAGGATGATGGAGCATTTTTTGAGCACGAAAGTGTTCCGAGCTGCTTTAACCAACTACTTATTAGACCGAAAATACTCCAACGCTGAGCAAGACGATTTATGGAGATTTCTAACAAATCAAGCCCATTTGGAGCAAATTTTAGACCAAGATATGTCGGTTAAAATAATAATGGACTCTTGGACCTTACAAACAGGATTTCCTGTCATTACAGTTACAAGGAATTACAAAAATCGATTAATTAAGTTTAAACAAGAACGATTTTTGGTGGCAGGAAATTCGAGTGGGGTTGATTCGTCTTTGTGGTGGGTTCCTTTGACTTATTCCACGAAAAACGATGGAATTGAACGAAAAACTTGGCTTAAATCAACTCGGGAAATCACGATTAATTCTGATTTATCACCGGATGAGTGGTTGTTGGTTAATTTGAACCTCACGGGGTATTATAGGGTTAATTATGATGAACAGAATTGGTACCTTTTGATTGAGGAGATTAACTCGAAGGAGGGTTATTTAAAATTTGACCCAAAAAATCGCGCCCAACTCTTAGACGATTCGTTTAATTTAGCCAATGGGGGTTATTTGGATTATTCAATCGCTTTGAATGTTACTAAATATCTGGTTTATGAGAGAGATGCGATTCCGTGGAAGACTGCTTTTATTACAATCGAGTATTTGTACAACATTTTTAGCAGAACGGGACATTTCGACTTATACAAAGTAAGATATTAACCTTTTTAGATACCCCCTCTGTCCGAAATTATGATTAATTGATCGTTTTTTAGAGTTTTTTTAAATATTTTTTTTTAATCAAAATAGATATCGGAAAATGAAACAAAATTAAAAATGCTTTAAAACGAGTCCAAACTCGACGTATTTATCTTTATTCGTTACTGATTTATCGATTAAACAAAAAAAATTTGACATTTGACAGTTGACAGTTCGTAACCTAACTTTTTTAATTTTTGACGGAAGTATGTCGAGTTTGGTGTTAAATTAACGGACTTTTAATGATCTTTAAGATTACGTTTTTCATTATTTCCTTAAATTTGACAGTTGACAATTAAGTAAAAAAAATTTGACAGTTCTTAACCGAACTTTTTTAATTTTTAACGGAAGTATGTCGAATTTGGTATTAAATTAACGGACTTTTAATGATCTTTAATTTTATCAAAACTTCAAATATTGTTTGAGGACTTGTTCTAAAGTAAAGCTCAAAGCTTGCTCTTTAAAATGATGTGTAATAATTGTTGGGTTGGATTGGAAAAATATTGAGAAAAAAAATGTTGAAACAAAACTTGCATTTTCGTATAATTTAAAAGTGTCAAAAAAGATGCTAATTTAAAAATTCCTGGAAGCCGTATTTATTGAAATTATGGAATGAGACTTGTTTTAAATTAAAGCTTAAAGCTTTCTCTTTAAAATGATGTATAATAATTGTTGGGTTGGATTGGAAAAATATTGAGAAAAAAAATGTTGAAGGAAAACTTGCATTTTCGTATAAATTAGAAGTGTCAAAAAAGATGCTAATTTAAAAATTCCTGGAAACTACATTTATTAAAATTAAGGAATGAGATTTATTTTAAATTAAAGCTCAAAACTTCCTCTTTAAAATGATGTATAATAATCGTTGGGTTGGATTGGAAAAATATTGAGAAAAAAATTATTGAAGCAAAAGTTACATTTTCGTATAATTTAAAATTGTCAAAAAAGATGATAATTTAAAAATTCCTGGAAGCCGTGTTTTTTGAAGTTAAGGAATGAGACTTGTTTTAAACTAAAGCTTAAAGTTTTCTATTTAAAATGGTGTATAATAAGTGTTGGGTTGGATTGGAAAAATATTGAGAAAAAAATTATTGAAACAAAACTTACATTTAGCAATTTCCGCCGATTAAATTTTAATAATTCGTATAAAATCGATTTCTTAAAATATAAATATGAAAATTTCCCAAAATGTTAATAAAAGTGTCCTCTTTCCAATGAACCAACCCGTTTTGAAAAATAACTTTTAGTTTTTGAGAAAACAATATTTGAAGNAATTACAAAAATCGATTAATTAAGTTTAAACAAGAACGATTTTTGGTGGCGGGAAATTCGAGTGGGGTTGATTCGTCTTTGTGGTGGGTTCCTTTGACTTATTCCACGAAAAACGATGGAATTGAACGAAAAACTTGGCTTAAATCGACTCGGGAAATCACGATTAATTCTGATTTATCACCGGATGAGTGGTTGTTGGTTAATTTGAACCTCACGGGGTATTACAGGGTTAATTATGATGAAAAGAATTGGTACCTTTTGATTGAGGAGATTAACTCGAAGGAGGGTTATTTAAAATTTGACCCAAAAAATCGAGCCCAGCTGTTAGACGATTCTTTTAATTTAGCCAATGGGGGTTATTTGGATTATTCAATCGCTTTGAATGTTACTAAATATCTGGTTTATGAGAGGGATGCGATTCCGTGGAAGACTGCTTTTATTACAATCGAGTATTTGTACAACATTTTTAGCAGAACGGGACATTTCGACTTATACAAAGTAAGATATTAACCTTTTTAGATACACCTTCTGTCCCAAATTATGATTAATTGATCGTTTTTTAGAGAGTTTTTTTAAATATATTTTTTTAATCAAAATAGATATCGGAAAATGAAAGAAAATTAAAAATGCTTTAAAACGAGTCCAAACTCGACGTATTTATCTTTATTCGTTGCTGATTTATCGATTAAATAAAAAAAATTTGACATTTGACAGTTGACAGTTGACAGTTCGTAACCTAACTTTTTTAATTTTTAGTGGAAATATGTCGAGTTTGGTGTTAAATTAACGGACTTTTAATGGTCTTTAAAATTATGTGTTTTGTTATTTCGTTAAATTTGACAGTTGACAATTAAGTAAAAAAAATTTGACAGTTGACAGTTCTTAACCGAACTTTTTTAATTTTTAACGGAAATATGTTGAGTTTGGTATTAAATTAACGGACTTTTAATGATCTTTAATTTTATGAAAACTTCAAATATTGTTTGAGGACTTGTTCTAAATTAAAGCTCAAAGCTTCCTCTTTAAAATGATGTATAATAATCGTTGGGTTGGATTGGAAAAATATTGAGAAAAAAATTATTGAAACAAAACCGACATTTTTGTATAATTTTAAAGTGTCAAAAAAGATGTTAATTTAAAAATTCCTGAAAGCTGTGTTTATTGAAATGAAAGAATGAGACTTGTTTTAAATTGAAGCTTAAAGCTTTCTCTTTATGATGGTGTATAATAAGTGTTGGGTTGAATTGGAAAAATATTGAGAAAAAAAATGTTGAAACAAAGTTTACATTTTCGTATGATTTAAAAGTGCCAAAAAAGATGCTAATTTAAAAATTCCTGGAAGCCGTATTTATTGGAATTAAGGAATAAAACTTATTTTAAATTAAAGCTCAAAGCTTTCTCCTTAAAATGATGTATAATAATTGTTGGGTTGGATTGGAAAAATATTGAGAAAAAAATTGTTGAAGCAAAACTTACGTTTTAACAATTTCAGCCGATTAAACTTTAAAAATTCGTATAAAATCCATTACTTGGAATATGAGTATGAAAATTTCCCAAAATGTTAATAAAAGCGCCATCTTTCCAATGAACCAACCCGTTTTGAAAAATAACTTTTAGTTTTTGAAAAAACAATGTTTGAAGTTTTGATAAAATTTTCGATTTTGCCAAAAATTTAAGAATTTAGAAAATGAATCTTGAACATTTATTTATGGGATTTAAGGAATTAAGAAATAATTTTTTGTACACTAAATCTCGATTAAATTTGCTTCAAAATGCCTTATATCTCATGGTTATATCTCAATTAGTTTTTGAGATACGATTTTTTTTGTTTCAATCAAAAATATTACTTAATTTATTTATCCAAAAAAGGACAGCGTTGCGATTAAAAATTTTTATCTCAAAAACTAAAAGATATTTACAAAATCGGTTTTATTCATTGAAAAGGTGACACTTGACTCTATAATTTTTGAAAATTGCGTTGCGATATCTTAAACGCTCGATTTTTGGCGATTTTTTAAAAATTGAGGTGACTAATTTTGTTATGAAGAATCGGCTCAATTTAAAAATGCTTTATCTCAGAAAGTAAACGATATTTTCAAAAACGGTCTTTTTTGTTAAAAAGGTTATGATTGTGGGTAAAAGTGGTGATAATTTCGTTTTGATTCATTAAAAATTCGATTTTATACGATTTTTTGAATATAACCCTAACTATTTTTTCCACCTCACTCGCTTTCCTTACGGATTTTCATATATCTCGTATATTTCGTATTTTTCTCGATATCTATGCATCTGAGAGCAAAAGTGAAAGAGAGCAATATTGATAAGCATATAATTTGGNGAATATGAGTATGAAAATTTCCCAAAATGTTAATAAAAGCGCCATCTTTCCAATGAACCAACCCGTTTTGAAAAATAACTTTTAGTTTTTGAAAAAACAATGTTTGAAGTTTTGATAAAATTTTCGATATTGCCAAAAATTTAAGAATTTAGAAAATGAATCTTGAACATTTATTTATGGGATTTATGGAATTAAGAAATAATTTTTTGTATACTAAATCTCGATTAAATTTGCTTCAAAATGCTTTATATCTCATGGTTATATCTCCATTAGTTTTTGAGATACGATTTTTTTCGTTTCAATCAAAAATATTACTTAATTTATTTAATCCAAAAAAGGACATCGTTGTGATTAAAATTTTTTATCTCAATAACTAAAAGATATTTTCAAAATCGGTTTGATGCATTGAAAAGGTGACACTTGACTCTATAATTTTTGAAAATTGCGTTGAGATATCTTAAATGTCCGATTTTTGGCGATTTTTTTAAAATTGAGGTGACTAATTTTGTTATGAAGAATCGGCTCAATTTAAAAATGCTTTATCTCAGAAAGTAAACGATATTTTCAAAAACGGTCTTTTTTGTTAAAAAGGTTATGATTGTGGGTAAAAGTGGTGATAATTTCGTTTTGATTCATTAAATGTTCGATTTTATACGATTTTTTGAAAATAACCCTAACTATTTTTTCCACCTCAATCGCTTTCCTTACGGATTTTCATATTTTCGTATTTTTCTCGATATCTATGCATCTGAGAGCAAAAGTGACAGAGAGTAATATTGTTAAGAATAAAATTTTCTACAACTTTTGGTCTAAAAGTTTTTTTGTAAAGTTCTCCGATTTTCAAATGTTACCATCCACTAGAAAAACAACGAAAATCATCAAATTTTCATATTTTTATATTTTTCTCAATATTGACGCATTTGAGAGCAAAAGTAAAAGAGAGCAATATTGGTAAGCATAAAATTTGCTACAACTGTTGTTTTAAAAGTTTTTTCATAAAATGCTCCGATTCCCAAGTGCTACCATTACTTGCCAGTAAAACAAAGCATTCTTCACATTTTCATGTTTTTGCATATTTATCGATATTGACGCATCTGAGAGCAAAAATGAAAGAGAGCAATATTGGTAAGAATAAAATTCGCTACAACTTTTGTTTTAAAAGTTTTTTCATAAAATGTTCCGATTCCCAAATACTACCATTATCTGCTATTAGAACAACGAATTCTTCAAATTTTCATGTTTTTGCATATTTATCGATATTGACGCATCTGAGAGCAAAAGTGATAACCATAAAATTTGCTACATCTTTTGTTTTAAAAGTTTTTTCATAAAATGCTCCGATTCCAAATTGCTACCATTATCTGCTAGTAGAACAACGAATTCTTCAAATTTTCATGTTTTTTCATATTTATCGATATTGACGCATCTGAGAGCAAAAGTGAAAGAGAGCAATATTGGTAAGCATAAAATTTGCTACAACTTTTGTTTTAAAAGTTTTTTCATAAAATGCTCCGATTCCCAAGTGCTACCATTACTTGCCAGTAAAACAACGAATTCTTCACATTTTCATGTTTTCGTATTTTTATCGATATTGACGCATCTGAGAGCAAAAGTGAAAGAGAGCAATATTGGTAAGAATAAAATTTGCTATAACTTTTGTTTTAAAAGTTTTTTCATAAAATGCTCCAATTCCCAAGTGCTACCATTATCTGCTAGTAGAACAACGAATTCTTCAAATTATTATGCTATTTTACCTTACAAACAGGATTTCCTATCATTACAGTTACAAGAAATTACAAAAATCGATTAATTAAGTTTAAACAAGAACGATTTTTGGTGGCGGGAAATTCGAGTGGGGTTGATTCGTCTTTGTGGTGGGTTCCTTTGACTTATTCCACGAAAAACGATGGAATTGAACGAAAAACTTGGCTTAAATCAACTCGGGAAATCACGATTAATTCTGATTTATCACCGGATGAGTGGTTGTTAGTTAATTTGAACCTCACGGGGTATTATAGGGTTAATTATGATGAAAAGAATTGGTACCTTTTGATTGAAGAGATTAACTCGAGAGAGGGTTATTTAAAATTTGACCCAAAAAATCGAGCCCAACTCTTAGACGATTCTTTTAATTTAGCCAATGGGGGTTATTTGGATTACTCAATTGCTTTGAATGTTACTAAATATCTGATTTATGAGAGGGATGCGATTCCGTGGAAGACTGCTTTTATTACAATCGAGTATTTGTACAACATTTTTGGCAGAACGGGACATTTCGACTTATACAAAGTAAGACATTAACCTTTTTAGATCCCCCCTCTGTCCCAAATTGGGATTAATTGATCGTTTTTTAGAGAGTTTTTTTAAATATTTTTTTTTTATTCAAAATAGACATCGGAAAATGAAAGAAAATTAAAAATGCTTTAAAGCGAGTCCAAACGATAGAAAAATTTATATATATTATGTATATAGAAGGTCATCTCCCCACTATTTTTTGGTACAAACGCTCCCAAGGGGATTGTGAGGGAACTAATTAGGTTAAAGCGCGAAATTTAAATATAGGTCTATACCGGTTTATACCATTACTTTATTTTGAAGAGGTCAAGTGCATTTTCCTAATAAATAGGAAAAAACATGAATTTAAAGTTTTTCCAAGATAATATTCATAATTTTTAACGTATATTCACGTATATTGCTCTCATTGGCAAAAAGCTCCAATTTATCTATTGGATAAACTTATCAAGAGGTGGTAAAAGTGGCCCTAACTTATTTAAATACTTAACTAAAGGATATAAAACACTAAACCAAAAGAACGTAAGGAAGAAAATTTACTTATACAACGGGGTTATCACCAATTATTACACTAAACGACAAAACAAAAATGTGACGTTTGCTTTCACCTCCGAGTTTGACATTATACATAAATTTTTCTATGGTTACAAGCGCTTTGTTTGTGTAGATAATGCAGATTGATGCAAATTCAGTTTACAACGTCATCCAGTGGATTGTGAGGGTACTAAATCTCGGTCTACATTTTTATAGTAGTAAGATTGCACACCATGGTCCAAACTCGCCGTATTTATCTTTATTTGTTGCTGATTGATCGATTAAATAAAAAAAATTTGACATTTGACAGTTCTTAACCTAACTTTTTTAATTTTTAACGGAAATATGTGGAGTTTGGTGTTAAATTAACGGACTTTTAATGATCTTTAATTTTATGAAAACTTCGAATATTGTTTGAAGACTTGTTCTAAATTAAAGCTCAAAGCTTCCTCTTTAAAATGATGTATAATAATCGTTGAGTTGGATTGGAAAAATATTGAGAAAAAAGTTATTGAAACAAAACTTACATTTTCGTATTATAATAATTGTTAGGTGGGATTGGAAAAATATTGAGAAAAAAATTATTGGAACAAAACCTACATTTTCGTATAATTTAAAAGTGTCAAAAAAGATGCTAATTTAAAAATTCCTGGAAGCTGTGTTTATTGAAATTAAGGAATGAGACTTATTTTAAATTAAAGCTGAAAGCTTTCTCTTTAAAATGATGTATAATAATCGTTGGGTTGGATTGGAAAAATATTGAGAAAAAAAATGTTGAAACAAAACTTACAGTTTCGTATAATTTTAAAGTGTCAAAAAAGATGCTAATTTAACAATTCCTGGAAGCTGTGTTTATTGAAATGAAGGAATGAGACTTGTTCTAAATTAAAGCTTGAAGCTTTCTCTTTAAAATGGTGTATAATATATGTTGGGTTGGATTGGAAAAATATTAAGATAAAAAACGTTGAAAGAAAACTTACATTTTCGTATAATCTAAAAGTGCCAAAAACAATGTGAAACTTAAAAAACCGTGGAAAGGGTTAATTATGAAAATTNTTGGAAAAATATTAAGATAAAAAACGTTGAAAGAAAACTTACATTTTCGTATAATCTAAAAGTGCCAAAAACAATGTGAAACTTAAAAAACCGTGGAAAGGGTTAATTATGAAAATTAAGAAATGATTTTCGTATCAAATTAAAGCTGAAACATTTCTCTTTAAAATGATGTATGAAACATATTGGGTTGAATTATAAAAATTATTAGATTTTTTACATTTTAAGCTTAATTTCAAAATGTTAAAATATTTGTATATTGTCTATCATTTTCAAAAAATCGCAATAAATTGAAGGTTTAATAATTTCTTATAAAATTATCAGCACTTGTTGAACAAATCATAAGTTATCCAATGAAAGAAGCGCATTTTGAAAATATCTTGTAGTTATTGAGATATTAATCTTTAAACATGAACTCACTTTTCTCCAATTTTTAAGCTATATTTCCAAGAATTTTTCATAAAATGAAACGTGCGATATATCATTTTAAAAGGTAAATCTTTAGCTTTAATTTGTGATATAAATCATTTCTTTATTCCCAGAAATAAGCTTAGAATGATTTTTTAAAGTTTACTTTGGTATTGTTGATTTTATAAAAAAGTCATAATTTAGAACTTCCAATTTTAAGCTATATCTCCCAACATTTTTCATAAATCTTAATAAGTTATACATCATTTAAAAAAGGAAATATTTAGCTTTCATTTGAGATATAAATCATTTCTGTAGCTTTATAAACAAAGTCAGAGCGATTTTTTAAATTTTTGAATTTTTTTTAAATTTACCTTACATTAAGAGTGATTAATATCAGATTGTTTCGGATACATTTTCACAATCAAGATATCGATCTCAATACATCGTTTTAAAAAGAAAGTATTAAGCTTTAATTTAAAACAAGTCTCTTTCCTTAATTTCAAAAAACACGGCTTCCAGGAATTTTTAAATTAGCATCTTTTTTGACACTTTTAAATTATACGAAAATGTAAGTTTTGCTTCAACAATTTTTTTCTCAAAATTTTTCCAATCCCACCCAACACTTATTATACATCATTTTAAAGAGAAAGCTTTGAACTTTAATTTAAAACGAGTCTCATTCCTTAGTTTCAATAAACACGGCTTCCAGGAATTTTTAAATTAGCATCTTTTTTGACACTTTTAGATTATACGAAAATGTAAGTTTTACTTCAACATTTTTTTTCTCAATATTTTTCCAATCCAACCCAACAATTGTTATACATCATTTTAAAGAGAAAATATTAAGCTTTAATTTAAAATAAGTCTCATTCCTTAATTTCAATAAATACGGCTTCCAGGAATTTTTAAATTTGCATCTTTTTTGACACTTTTAGATTATACGAAAATGTAGGTTTTGTTTCAACATTTTTTTTTCTCAATGTTTTTCCAATACAACCCAAAGATTGTTATACATCATTTTAAAGAGAAAGCTTTAAGCTTTAATTTAGAACAAGTCTTCAAACAATATTTGAAGTTGAAATAATTTTCGAATTTTGCAATTTTCGCCGATTAAACTTTAATAATTCGTATAAAATCGATTTCTTGGAATATGAATATGAAAATTTCCCAAAATGTTAATAAAACTGTCCTCTTTCCAATGAATTAATCCGATTTTGAAAATATCTTTTAGTTTTTGAGATAAAAATTTTTAATCGTTTATCACTTTTTAAGAACAAAATTAGTTAAGGTTATTTTCAAAAAATCGTATAAAATCGAATTTTTAACGAATCAAAACGAAATTATCACCACTTTTACCCAAAATCATAACCTTTTTAGCAAACAAGACCGTTTTTGAAAATATCGTTTACTTTCTGAGATAAAGCATTTTTAAATTGAGCCGATTCTTCATAACAAAATTAGTCACCTTAATTTTTAAAAAATCGCCAAAAATCAAGCATTTTAGATATCGCAACGCAATTTTCAAAAATTATAGAGTCAAGTGTCACCTTTTCAATGAATCAAACCGATTTTGAAAATATCTTTTAGTTTTTGAGATAAAAATTTTTAATCACAACGATGTTATTTCTCATTTTTACGGAAAAAATTAATTAGGGTTATTTTCAAAAAATCGTATAAAATCGAATTTTTAACGAATCAAAACGAAATTATCACCACTTTTACCCAAAATCATAACCTTTTTAACGAAAAAAAACAGTTTTTGAAAATATCGTTTACTTTCTGAGATAAATCATTTTTAAATTGACTCGATTTTTCATATCAAAATTAATCACCTCAATTTTTAAAAAATCGCCAAAAATCGAGCGTTTAAATATCGCAACGCAATTTTCAAAAATTATAGAGTCAAGTGTCACCTTTTCAATGAATCAAACCGATTTTGAAAATATCTTTTAGTTTTTGAGATAAAAATTTTTAATCGTTTATCACTTTTTAGGGCGAAAATTAGTTAGGGTTATTTTCAAAAAATCGTATAAAATCGAATTTTTAAGGAATAAAAATGAAATTATCACCACTTTTACTCAAAATCATAACCTTTTAAGCAAAAAAGACCGTTTTTGAAAATATCGTTTACTTTCTGAGATAAAGCATTTTTAAATTGAGCCGATTCTTCATAACAAAATTAATCACCTCAATTTTTAAAAAATCGCCAAAAATCGAGCATTTTAAATATCGCAACGCAATTTTCAAAAATTATAGAGTCAAGTGTCACCTTTTCAATGAATCAAACCGATTTTGAAAATATCTTTTAGTTTTTGAGATAAAAATTTTTAATCGTTTATCACGTTTTAGGGCGAAAATTAGTTAGGATTATTTTCAAAAAATCGTATAAAATCGAATTTTTAACGAATCAAAACGAAATTATCACCACTTTTACCCAAAATCATAACCTTTTTAACGAAAAAGACCGTTTTTGAAAATATCGTTTAGTTTCTGAGATAAAGCATTTTTAAATTGAGCCGATTCTTCATAACAAAATTAGTCACCCCAATTTTTAAAAAATCGCCAAAAGTCGAGCATTGAAGATATCGCAACGCAATTTTCAAAAATAATAGAGTCAAGTGTCACCTTTCCAATGAATGAAACCGATTTTGAAACTATCTTTTAGTTTTTGAGATAAAAATTTTTAGTCGCAACGATGTCCTTTTTTGATGAAGTAATTAAGTAATATTTTTCATTGAAACAAAAAAAATCGTATCTCAAAAACTAATTGAGATATAACCATGAGATATAAAGCATTTTGAAGCAAATTTAATCGAGATTTAGTGTACAAAAAATTATTTCTTAATTCCCATAAATCACATCGTTATGATTTTTTAAATTCAACGTTAAATGTTAAAGATTAAACAAATCATATCTTAATAACTAATTGAGATATCACCATGATATGAGAAGCATTTTAAAGTAAATTAGTTCAAGATTTGAGATATATTATGATATAA